GATTGGAATGGCCCTACTGCCGGTTCATGTACTCATCTTACTACTCCTATTGCCACAAATGGTGACAAGTAGCGACCAAGGCACTTGTTTATCTTCCGCATACACACAAAGAGGTTTCCGACTACAAGGATTTGAAATCAAAATGATGCTTACAACATCCACCAGCAGCTGCATGCAACAGTGTACTTTGAACAACCAATGTTTCAGCATCAACTATAAATATAGTACAAGCATGTGCGAGCTTAATGATGCTAATCACTTGACAAATCCAGAAAGTTTGACCTTATCGCCGGGATACGACTACATAAACAACCCTGCTCGTTCTCCCTCAAGTTGTAGCATTGCTTACTGCAGCCGCAAAACTGACAAGTGTTTGATTAACAGAGGTGCTCAAGACTACAAATGTGTGTCATGTAAAGGTATTAGTTATTAATTGATTAAGATGGTTTTCTTCTTTAATTCAGCAAGGTCGCAAAATATTTTTTCCGAATTCATTTTCAGACTTTCTCATCAAGTATAGTTTACAACATGAGCGGCCGTGTTGTATGGGAATTACAATCTCGAGCCGCAGGCGAGAGATTGTAATTCCCATACAACACGGACGCGAATGTTGTAAACGACTTATAAAACTCCAACACAAATTAACATGAATTACAGTGAGATAAATGACGAAAAATGACAAATAAGGTAACTGCTGAGTTTAGTCCCTATTAAGCATGCGCAATTTACTGCAACACAGAACATTTTGAATAATTATCCATCCCACATGGCAAGCAAGCCATCTGTTGCATAAGCGAGTTCTGTTATCCGTCTTTGATTGCTTCAAAACCTAGTGAAGGTCTATGATGCGACACTAAAACTGAGACCTTTGCTAGTGTTGGGTTGTCTCAAGGTGACGACCGTGTTGTAAATCTCATACAACACTAGTGTTGTATCACAGTATTGTATCCGATTTACAAGGTCAATCACCTGATTAAATGGTCAGCCCTTATTGGAGCAATAGCTTATGCATTATTAATAAGTTTTATAATATTCTATATCATGTGTCATACTAGTGCCATGCGGTCCTCGTATTCATATTGATAAAAATACACCTAATTGAAAAACCTTAGTCGTGTTTGAAAAGGTCACATCATTGAAGCTAAGACCGAAAGGGATTTTGAGTAACACTAAATTGGGATTACATTTGCATATACGGTGTACAGTAAAGCAGGTAGAGCTAGTAAGAATGACAGCATGCTAGTCTTTTATGCTGGAGAGCTGTTTGTATGAAATTAGCCAAATTGTTTGTCTTCCCAAGTACCCTTTCGGTCTTAGCTTTTATGATTTGACCTTTTTGGGACCGACAAAGCTTCTTCAATTAGGTGTATATATGTTTAGATATATATTATTGCGTCGGCTCTCGGTAATAACACTTACATAACGACGACATTGTGAAAAAGTCAAACAATTTAAAAAAATTCATAGTCCTAGACGAGTGTCACTTTTCATTAGAGAAAAGCAAACGGCAAACGGCAGAAAAGATCACGTGATCTGCTTTTTTGGAGTTTAACATTGCAGTTTCAACGCGAGAGGCTAGTTTGAGGTTGCCAAAATCGTGAAAAGCCGCTCTTTAGTATGACTACCAAAAGCATAAGTCAGTCACGAAATTCTTAGGTCATTGGTTCAGCGCTGCCGTTAGCCGTTTGCCGTTAACATGATGCTTAAACTCTCTATTCACCTCCGCATCCCCGTTGGCATTTAAAGGGTGTCACCTTTACTCTTGATATAACTTATATACTCCAAACTATACTTTTACTTTCATTTTAACAGTTGAGGGAAGGCAAGAAATTATTGTATTCCCCCAAGAACAAGCAAGCGTACATAATAAAGTTGTTCTAGAAAACATGTTCGAATCCCTAAACGCCTTCACGGTATGTTCTTGGAGCCAAGTCACCTCAAAATCTGYTTTTTTGCCACTGTTCAGCTATGCTACCACTATCGATGCTAATGAAATATATGTACAATTGGTATATGATTCGCCCACAACATTTCTAAGAGTCTACCTAACTGGMTCGAAAACAATGACCGGGTAAGGTATCAGAAAATTATTTTTGCCCTTTAGGKACATATGTCAATCAATTAGAAAGCAAGCGCACAATTTGACGAGAAAAYATGAGATTAATACCAGGCAGTCGATTTTGTATATTATGAAGCCGGTTCGTGAAGTAATCGATTACAATTTCAAACTAGGTCAGTTGTTGGTATTTCAGGGGAGCGCGCGGATGATTATTGACTATTTCGGTGCGAAAAAAGTCGACGGGTTTCCTGTCACACAAGGCCGACAAAAGAGTGGAYTGCGAAGGAGACTAAGTCGATCGATAATCCCGTTTGAATGAGATGTATAGAGAGAGYCGTACCGATACATATTCTTTAGGACAGAATATCGCATTTCATTATCATTATGTGACGCAATAGAGGAGTGAAGTTAAATTGAAAACCCGCAGTGTGCAAGAAATCATCATGAATATTAATCACAATCATGTTCATCTCGTTTACAGTGAGGCAGTTTACTTGGTTGATGGTAACTGGCACCATTTTTGTTTGACATGGAAGAACAATCTTGGAAACTGGAAAATATACATCGATGGCGTCATGAAATCCGAAGGCAAYAAGAACGCAGGAAGAGTCATTGGCAAGGGTGYCGTTGTACTTGGCCAAGATCAAGACTCGGTCAAAGGAGGCTTTAGCGTAAGCCAAATCTACAAAGGCAACTTGACCAATGTAAACCTTTGGAACAGGGTCCTCACAGCCCAAGAGGTGTCGGATCTATCTCRATCATGCCTCGCTGGAGAAGGAAATGTTWTCAAGTGGTCAGACTTCACAGCCAAAGTTGAAGGAGACGCCAAATTACTTTGTTCTCGTCGTAATTGTGGCATATAAAGTCTTTTTCTGATTAACTTGTTTAGGTGTAGATAAGAAGACAGACACCGCCATATCTGGCACGCTCTCAGTTGAAAGAAGAGAGAGAAATTTTCGCTAATTATTAGACAACAAATGTKGTAAATATTATATTTGGCACAAATAGGCGATTTATGTTTTGATAGTCGAATATATTGATCCAATTAGCTCGCGGTCACGTAGCGTTATTTAACCACTGGATGTATACCGGTATTGTATAGTCATATGATTTTGTGCAATACGCCCTTATATAGTTTATCAAATTGCTATCTAAAAATTGGCCAATCAGAGGCCCTAAGGTAGGGACAGATAATAGAATACACTGTGCCTAGTAATATCACTTGGACTTCACTGACGCCAGGCAAGGTTTGTTGAAGCTGATTTTTAACTCGGAGATTGCGTTTTTTAACTCGGAGATTAAAAGCAGAAGGCATTGACAGTTTAAGTTAGAAATGAAAGTTTAGATTTWAAAAAATCAAATTTTGATACTCGTATGTTGTCGTTCACTGGCTGTATGTAATCTTATRTAGTCTTATGTGGTCATATGTAGTCGTTTGTAGTCGCATGTAGCTGTGTGTAGTTGTATGTCGTGGTATGTAGTTGTRTGTAGTTCTATGTAGTCGTATGTAGTTGTGTGTTATCGTATATAGTCATCTTATGTAGTCGAATGTAGTTGTGTGTGTAGTTGAATGTCACTCGTATGTCAGCCGCGCGTGTGGAGTTTAACTCATATATGCTCGTGTAAGTACGTTTATTATGAATTCACTAGCAATTTCGGTTGATGTGATACAGTCTCACAGCTAGTGTACATACACTTATTATAAATGCACTTTCGTCCCAGACACCACATTTTTTTAGATAGAATAAGAATTTAGAGAAGCATTCTTTAATAGTTCGGGTTGCCTTTTTCACCTTGATCGTTGTCATGCCAACAATCAACTTTTTGGTGAATTTTGATATTTCTAAACAATATAAAAAGACATAATATATAAAGAAAAGTTAAATGAGATCATGTCAACTTTAGAGTACATGTATTACAATTACTTTCATTTATTTTGAAACTCAATCTGTTTGATTTGAAACTGTAATAATTGCGAATTATTCGAAACACATAGATCAGTTCTACCCGAGCCAGGTGGATGTATTTTTAAAAGCTGCAAAATCAAAACTGTTAAGACGGACCCAAAATGCCTCACAATAGTCGATTTGCATTATGGCGTCAYCAACTACCAGAATGCTTTGCCAACTTTCTTCGCGGGGATAAAATATCTGAATAACAACGAAAATGCGCAAGGCTCTCTGGCAGTTGTAGTAAAGTTACCATATAATGCAAATGGCCTATTCATTGTTAGAAACTACACCAGCTTCACTTCAAGGGGCCCCCACGCATAAAAGATTAAATTCTAGAAATAAAGAATTTCTTGGACAACGCGTTGGTTAATGAACGAATCTTAAGAGAATGTTACTCTTTCTGCAAATATTGAAGCTTTTACTAATAAAATAAATTTGTTTTGACGTCCTAGCTCTTAGTCTCCTTTCGCATCCGTTTTCGCTTCGGGCGAAAGGATGSGAAAGGAGACTACCTAGCTCTCTCTATTTCTTGAGTTTGTTTTTCCACATGATGTTTCACTGACCATCAATTGCATCTGTAATCACCCAGGAATATAACGAAATGGAAACGGTTTTCTTCCCATATCAGCTAGCTTACGTCTCGTTTAATACTTATCGAAGACTGTTAGTAATATTTATATGAGAAGCTTTGCAAATCTTCAATACTTTCTCTCATTCTCAGTTGCGAATTTGCTTCACTCAATTTGACAGCACCAAAGACTTCAAATCATTTTAATCCAATTGATTTAATTTAATTAATTTAATTTAATCTAATTTAATCTAATTTAATCTAATCTAATTTAATTTAATTTAATCTTTAATATGTCGTTTTATGCCCCACGGCCGACTCCTTAAGAGGAAAAAGGATGTTTCTCAATTAAAGGTTGGCCCATAGTCATATTCTATAACGGTAGGCTACCAGACAAGCTACCTTACACCATCTACAAACTTTTAAAAAAACAGTTAAAACAGTTAAAACAGTTAAAACTGATAGAGCTAAAATGTGCAAGACCAGAGTTTGGGCGATTTTTATATGTTCTACTGCCGGAATAATTTGGGCATTTAGTTTTCAAATGGCTGAAGCCGATTGTCAAACCTCGATATCGGGAGTACAACTTGCAAACCATGTCATGTCGACTTTGACTATCGGTGATATCGATAGCTGTTACAGGACGTGTGCCGCGAAGAAGGGCTGCAGGAGTATAAATTATTATATAAAAAAGTTTCTCTGTGAGCTTAACAGCAGAACAATCGAGAACACGCCTCAAAAGAAAGTTGTCAACGAAAACTCTGTGTACTTCAAGATTCCAGGTATAACATTATGAATACTGTTTATTTAATAAAACAATAAATCCTTTTAGTAATATCTTTAACACTATCTTTGCCTTAAAACCATCTATGTGATTATCTCAATATTTCTCTCTTTCGAAAAGCTTTTATTTTTACTTTTGAGAATAGCACCTCCTCTATATATTGGAATAAGAAAAGGTACTTTACGACGTAATTTGCTCACATGTATATACCTATTTCAAAAAAGGTTGTCGGATAAAATGGCGAATGGCAATTGTCAAACGGCGATTGCACGACCGAAAGGAGCCATGGGTTTTGCTAATGGATGGGGAATAATGACTAATTTTTACCGTAAGATTTTCTATGGTCATCATTGGCTCCATTTAGTCTCCTTTTTCATGCAAGTAAACCTAACAATTGAATTTTTTGTATGTCAAACAGAGTAACCATAGTCCCTTTCGGTCGTGCATTCTCCCTTCGACAATCGCCGTTCGCCGTTCTCCCCGACAACGTTTTTTGAATTAAGTGTAATTATACGTTCACCCGTGAAAGATCTTTTGAACACTCGACGATAAAGTCGGCATCTCCGCGGGCCCATGTAATATCTCTATTTATTCAGTAACGATCCGTGCAAATGAGCTGTGACCCTTGCAAGAGATCTGTAACAATGGAAATAGTCAGTTGAGATCTCACAAATTTTTCCTAAATCTCTTTATATTTTACACAMAATTGGGGCAAATACAGTGTAAAAGAGATTTCMGTCTCAAAAACTTCAAAAAAATCCAAGCAGCAAAGACAGGAGAATATTATTTTTTCACTTTATTCTAACAGATGACGGAGGGCAAATAATTATGACATTTCCGCAAGCAAGTTTGAAAAATAAAGTTGTGCTAGAGAACTGGTTCGAATCTTTGAAGGCCTTTACAGTATGCTCATGGAATCAACCAACATCAAAATCTCAACAAGCACTTTTCAGCTATGCCACGAAGGATTATTATAACGAAATATATTTAGAACTCAACACTAGGAATTCGTCGACTACATTTTTAGATGTGCACCTGAATGTTYATTCCGGGTAAGCTAACAGCAGACTATTTTGCACAAATCSTTCTGTCTGTCWGTCAAAACCACGTAAGAATGTTCATTAGTGCCGAAACTTTATCATTATTATTATTTTCAGACATTCAAAATAGTTAGTAGCCATGAGCTATAATATCATCATCTAAGACTATTTTYGGTTCCTCATCAGGAGTCTTCAGATCAAGATGCACGTTCTAAGATTGCCTTTTATTCGTTGAACAGTGTGCCAACGAATAACATATATAATGTGGTGCCAACCACAGTATCCAACTAATCAGGGCATTGACGGTATCGCCGTATCAACGTTGATAACGTCAACAGCGAGTTAGTTCCTTTTTCTTTTCTTTTTTTTCTTTTTTTTTTTTTGTTCTTTTTTGTAATGGCTTTTTTTTTCTTTTCATTAAGTATATCTCTCTAAGTTAATTGATTTTTTTCATTTCTTCCGCTATGTTTTTTCGGTTCACTTGGTCGTATCAGATACAGTGATTATAGGCTCAGCTGTAATTCAGGAAWGCAGAGCAGTCAATCGCACTCATTCGTTTAATGTTCGTGTTATTCTCTTGAACAGGGAGGCGGTGTATCCTGTCGATGGTAACTGGCACCATTTTTGTTTGACATGGGAGAACMTTCGAGGTGAGTGGAAAATATACATCGATGGCGCCGARAAATCTAAAGGGATCAAGAACTCAGGTAGGGTTATTCCTGGAAAGGAAGCCATTATACTTGGWCAGGATCAAGACTCTGTCAAGGGAGACTTTGATTTAGCACAAAGCTACCAAGGCAAAGTGGCCAACGTGAACCTTTGGGACAGGGTCCTCACGGCACAAGAGGTAGCTGACTTGTCTCGATCATGTTCCTTTGGAGAAGGAAATGTTGTCATGTGGTCAGACTTTCTTGCCAGAGTAGAAGGGAATATCGTGCTGCTTAAAGCTTATCATGATTGTGTTAAATAAAGCGTATTTCGCTTCAGCTTTGATGATTCGTGTTAGGACTTTATAATTTTTAGGACATTAAAGAGCAAGCAGTGTAATCAGTGCAAGCCTTTAGATCATAGTATTATTTCAGAGGATCTATTTTAATTTGGCACCCATAGAAATTTCATAAATCTTAGCACAACAGACGAATACAAAACATATATACAAATTTGTTTAAGTTGTTTGCTTTTAGCAATTTTTAGAATAAAATTTATTACGAAAAGAAAACTAGCCTATTCGGTGCCATTAGGCACAATTATTTTTAAGAGAAAAGTATTCTGAGTAGTTCGTAGTTTGAGTCTATTACAAATTTGAATATTCGGCCCTACACTGTAAAAAATGCTTGGTTAAGATAACCAATAAAAATGGTCGTAACCAAACAGTATTGGTTGTTTTGACCAAAAGTAGATCCGCAATATACCCACAATACTTTACTCTTGAAAATGGTGCCTGATGTGACCGAAACKTCGAGTTTTCTTGTCGTAATAAATTTTATCGTAAAAATTATGTACAAATGGTCTAGAAATGTGGATATCAGAGTAATTTAGTTACAATTTACAGTAACCTAAAATCAGTAACTAAGTTAATATTAATTATTTTAATATTATAGTAGAGATGACAGTAGTTGAGTTTCGCGATCTCTTTTACGCTGTGTTATTTTCTTCAAAAAGGTARTGAAAAGCAACAGATAAATTTTAATACAATCGCAAAGAATTAGAGTTCTGGCTTACAAAATGCAATCGAAGACATTATAAACTATAACACTATAAACGTGTAAATATTGAAGTGGGTTTACTTTGCGCATGCTTTCTTAATTCCACTATTTTCAAAACGTGTTTTTAAACTGGYCCCACAGTACCACGGTACCTTTCACCATGTTTCACCCGGGATTCTACCTCTAGCATATCGTCCGAAGGCCGATTGTTTATATTCAATTTGGGATTCCTGTTCCAAACAATTCCCATCTATATTTTCAGAAAAAAATGCTTTGGAACAGTGACCGTATTAAAAGTGCAAAGAAACTCCATTTGTTTCAAAATGTAGGATAATCTATCGTTTTTAGAATAGTAACTTGCCGCAAAAACGTTTTCAGTTGGACAAATTCCCGATCTTGAACGTTATTTTGAATTTCCCGCCAGTTCGGAAAAATCTTTTAAATCAGGGGCCTGGTGCGAATGTAACGTCAACTAAGGAATCGTCTTTCGCTTTTCCGGGGACTCAGTAAATGGTGGAGATTATAAGGTATCCATTCCTGTTAAAAACGCCTTAGGAGATATACTCTATATATTATAAACATATTGCTATAGTCTCAACAAAAGCAGAGAAGACAGAGACTGTGGAAATCTCCAGTTAGTAAGAAGTTCAGAAGTCAACCAGGAGACTGTGAAAATAAACAGAAATAGAGTCATTGGGCTTCTTGTAGTTGAATGTTTAACAAGAAACTCGGTCCTTTTTTGGCCAAATTGCTGTTTATTAGTGTATATGTATTTTGTTTTGTTTTTTTTACCCTCTATGAGCAGGTGTAKTACTTCGTTTCGGGCCATGATATAGATTTTTTAATTAAAAAGCAATAGCATTCGAAACTGTTATCTTTGCCCTGACTTATTCGAAATYGAGCATGCAGATGGATCTTAGCCAAGATCATGCATTCATTCATACATTCATTCAATTAAACAAATCCATATTGTGAAGATAGACATCGTAATACTACTTTCAATTGATAGTACTAAAACATGACATAGGCTTCCCCCACGTTAAGATTATTCTAAAAAAGGGTTTTTGAACAACGCGTTGGCTATTTGTCGTACTTAAGAAAATAATATTCGTTTTTGCAAATATTGATTTCGATGCCTCCCAGTTTGACTAATTACACCGATCGTGATGCTAGTTCTTGCCATATCTTATCAGTAATGGTGTGGCAAAAGCGGTCAAATACTGTTGTTTGACGGTTAATAATAAATATTTATTGCGTCGATCTTTTGCTGTGCTGCAGTATCACTTCATTTCATTACTGTAAGATAATTTCTTAAAATATTTTCAATTAGCAAGAATAACGTCTTTTTACTTATCGTCCTAATCTATCAAAAATTGAAAAACTTCAGTTTGAAGCTTTACAGGTCGTTTGAATACTTCCTTTTCATATCAATTACAAATTTGCCTCACTCGATTTTGCATCAATGATTTTAATGCTTTTTCGCTGGATTTTTTAGCCAGCTTTATTATGTCCTTTATATGCCACTTGACTGATAAACAATGATACTTTTAAAAATCAGCGATTTCAATAAATCGTTTACACATGCCAAACCGATGAAAGGAATATTTCTCTTAAAGTTTGGCAACATGACATATAGTGGAATATAGACTTTCGCTTACCAGACGAGATCAAACACTCYAGTATCGTTTATATACAAAGTTAACTGAAAAAAAAACTTAAAATGTACAAGGCCACAGATTTTGAAATGCTTATAAGTTCTACCGTAATACTCTGTGCATTTAGTTTTCAAATGGTAGAAGCCGATTGTAAAACCTCGGTATGGGGAATACAACTTGCAAACCATGTCCTGTCGATTTTGACTATCGGTGATATCGATAGCTGTTACAGGACTTGTGCCGCGAAGCCAGGCTGCAGGAGTATAAACTATTACAGAGACAAGTCCCTTTGTGAACTAAATAGCAGAACAATCGAGAACACGCCCCAAATGACAGTCATCAACGAAGACTCTGTGTACTTCACAATTCCAGGTATAAACTATCAAAACTGTTTATGGCATAAAACAATTCATTAAGCAAAGTCAATTTATTTTCTAATTCAATCCAACAGATAACGGAGAGCAAATAATTATTAATTAATAATTATTTCTTGAAGAAMGTTTACAAAATAAAGTTGTGTTAGAAAACTGGTTCGAATCTTTGAAGGCCTATACAGTATGCTCATGGAACCAGGCAGTCACAAAACCTGAACAAGCACTCTTCAGCTTTGCCACCAAGGATCATCACAACGAAATATATGCAGAACTCGAAAAAGAATCGTCGACCACATTTCTGCGTATTTACATGATGGAATGGAGATCTCCGACAGGGTGAGGAAACAGCAGACTATTTGTGTTATACAGTTATACAGGTTATTCACTAGCATTTCTGGTTCTAACAATTAAACCCGTTTTATGGATAGGCAATCAGTACAAAAACAATTTATTGCGTTACTAATCAGTTGGCTAGGTATAGTATTCATCGTTCTATAAATTATACTTGTCAGCACATTTAATTGACAATATTTTTCGCCGTTAAAAGTTCTGATAATCGCGTAGCTTTCAGAGAACGACGTACAGAGGTGTTACAGCAGCTCACCACTCATAGTTTTTACTATTTGAACAGGGAGGCGGTGTATCCTGTTGATGGTGACTGGCACCATTTTTGTTTGACATGGGAGAGCAATAGTGGTGAGTGGAAAATATACATCGATGGATCCGAGAAATCTAAAGGGATCAGGAACCCAGGTAGAGTTATTCCTGGAAAGGGCGCCATTATACTTGGTCAGGATCAAGACTCTGTCAAGGGAGGCTTTGATTTAGCACAAAGCTACCAAGGCAACTTGACCAACGTGAACCTTTGGGACAGGGTCCTCACGGCACAAGAGGTGGCTGACTTGTCTCGATCATGCTCCGTTGGAGAAGGAAATGTTATCATGTGRTCAGACTTTCTTGCCAGAGTAGACGGGGATATTGAGCTGCTTAAAGCTTATCATGATTGTGGTAAATAAAGCGTATCTCGCTTCAGATTTGATAATCCGTCAAGACTTTAGTATTTTTACATTTAGTGGGGTGGATAAGTGCTAAAATTGTTCGGGTTTTTTTTCGTTACAAGCATCAAATTTTGTAGATATGAATGTTTTTAAGTAATTTTTATTGGTCAAATAAATAATAATAATTTAAGTGCTTTTAGGAAGAGTTTTTCAAAATGGCAGACGATATTTTGAACCGGAAGTGCTATTTTGCCAAACAACAACAACAACATCCCTACCAACTCAATGTCATTTATCCACAGAYGTTGTTGTGCCATGAATATACAAATGAACGATATTATATTTGAGACTTTTTACCTATGAAATTAAGGACATATGCAAACTTTTTTATCAAATCGGAAGTGGATGTATCTGCAACCGGAAGTGCCATTGTTCTTTTCTATTATGTATGATTATATCTATATATTTCAAGCAATATTTCCAAATCGATAATTTTAGTTTCACGCATAGTGCAATTCTTGTGGTTCCCTTCCCGTGCCAAAACTAATCCAGAGCTTACTTTCTAGAGCTTACCTTCTAGAGCTTACCTTCTAGAGCTTACCTTCTAGAGCTTACCTTTTAGAGCTTACCTTCTAGAGCTTCATCGACTGTTTCGAAGTATTTACGTGAACTTGAGTTATTTGTAAAATTCCAGAAAGAATAGAATCGTAATTGCGGTTGTTCGCAAGTCGGACCACRGGCTTTAGGAGACTCCTTGTTTTGAGTCGTGAGAAATTCTTGTTCATGGACAAAATAACACKCTAGATTTGCTTACTTGAGTTTTTTATTGCTAGTCAAATAAGCTTGTGATGAATTTCTTTCCATATTTATAGTAACAGTTACGACTAACCGCCACCTTGAATTTTACACTGGTATTCACCAGTCCTACGCGATTCTCTAACTTAACCGACAAACATAAAAACCCCCAGGGTAGGCACTAAGTGGGCTTTGTCCACCTCTCTGCCAATGGGATCGATGGATTTTGTACCATGTGATCATTTTGAATCGTCCAAAGCTTGATGCAAGCTGTGTCGTCATCTAAAATTTAGTCCCTCTCGCATCGGTGTCACAAGTAAAATGCTTACTAATAAGTTCTTCATCTCTGTAAAAGAATATCCAATAAACGAAGTTCGAAATTAATCTGTACGTAAATAACTAAATTCAAATTTTTAAAATTAACGATAAATCGATCAATTTAAGTTGTATTTACATGCTATCCGGCCAAAAGCACCATTCATTATTCTTCTCTTGCAAAGTTATCAGCAAAATTATCTTGTAACTACTCACTTGACTATTTTTTCAGCTGTAATCCYTACGGAAAACKTCTCAAAACAAACGGATTTGTATTGGATTCAAGGGGACAGGGTAGTTTCCTTATATGGTTGAAGGGGACAGGGTAGTTTCCTAATATGGTGATGACGCGTCATCAGCTAGCATTGAGGATTGTACGATGGATTTGCACTTAGGGCCTACCCTGGGGGTTTTTGTGTTTGGCGGTTGAGTTTTAGCTAGGGAACCACGCCATTTGATCGGACGGAGGACTGGTGAATACCARTGTATTKGAATGGCGCACGGTTAGTCGTAACTGTTACTACTATAAATGTAGAAAGAAATGGACTATACAGATCATAAATTCATGTTTATTCATCACAGGCTTATTTGACTAGCAATAAAAGACTCAAGTACGTAAATAGCGTATTATTTTGTCCATGAACAAGAATTTTTCACGACTCAAAACAAGGAGTCTCCTAAAGCATGTGGTCGGACAAGTCTACTTGTCCTTACAAGTTATTGTTGAGATACTTGAATGCAGCTAACATTAAACTTTCTTCGAGTGTCGATTTCATTTTTAGGAATGTGGTCTACAAGAAGAAATCAGCTAGCTACGTACTTGGAAAAAGGAAGATGCCCTACACGTCATATCGAGAGGATACCTCGGCGTACCTCGGGAAACATTGAGATTCTCGGGAAACAAAACTAACCGTTTCCCTTGGGAACAGTTATTAAGTGTATAATATTGCCTTTGAATACTAATTGAATAATAATAATAATAATGAAATAATAATAATAAAAATTAGAAATTAGTTGGGAATTGAATACTACTACGTTCAACTTATAAATGTTCCGTCTGAAACTTGAAAGAAAGAAAGAAAAATTCAAATGACACCAAGTAGATTCGAGCCCACCTTAGCTTTGAAAATCCTATACTTAACACGTTATGCTAACCAACTAATCGATGTCAGTTATGGAATAAAACAGTTATTTAGCATTGCCCAGTTACTTGTTATTAAAGGTATATTGTTAGCATTGGTCTTATAGGACTAACGAGAAAATTGGTTATGCAAATTATTCGCGTTGGGAATTGTCAATACTTTAAATTTCGTAACCTTTATAATCGAGGTTTTGGTTTTTAATTCATATGAAAACGGCTTCTTATGAAAATATTAATGCAGTGCTTGGAAAACTTCTTCAAGTATAAAATAAGCCAGTTACATACCTCGAACGTCGGCAATCGTCGGTCGACGAGGTCTGTTATTCTAAATGTTCTTACAGTGCGTATACGGTACATGACGTAAAAGGTATGTTCTTTCAGACACAACTTCATGTTTATTGCTTGTGGCAAGTTTTAATACATTTCCACTTAAGCTACATTTTTTTTATCTACACAATATTCTCTGTTCCTACTGTACTGTACTGTCATTGAAAAGTCTAGTTTCTTTACGTTTTATTGAGCGTGTATCCATTATAGGAGATCATGAGCTAGTTTTCCTTAATGAGGAAGGGCCCATCCTCAAAATTGATCTCCACATCATCAGTCTTCAATTTAATCTTTGCATTGAATTGACCTTTAGTAGGTGCAGTCAAGTTCCAGGAAACCCTTTTCTCTCCCCTTGATAAAGTTATGTCCTCATAATTATCAGCGTCGTCGTTGTACCTGTCGCCTCCGAAATTGACTACAAGTTTTATTCGAAACGTCATGGGCTGGGCGTTGGCGTAGCTAATAGAGGCTCTATATTGGAACTCTTTACCAACTTCGGGGGAAAACCAGGGCTTGATAAGAGACGTGATGACTGCAATCTTGGGTTGAATAACGTACGACTCTCTTGTAAAATTGAATCCTGATAGAGTTTTGCCTCTCATTGGTATTTTGAAATGTTCTTCTGAAAGTGGAGCCTTASATTCGTAAGTGTAGAAATCGTTGTTATRAGTYAAGAGTATCCAGTCATTGGGAAGAGACAATGTATTTTTATCCAACCGGGAGATGTTTGGAACTTCAATTTCGACTTTGGCTTTCTCTCCTAAAGTTAGAAAAAAATGTTTAATCTGGCTMTACATATAAAGCAGCATATTACTGGCAWTAATGTAACTGGTCAAAAATGATTCTATTTCATTATATTTTTTTTATGAGAAGGAAAGAAGAGCTGTTTCCAAATAACCATATAGACTGGACTAAAGGTATAGATGCCCATCTTCGTGGTCATACATATGTAGATCAACGTTGGGGTATAGCCAGTCAACGAAAAAAAAAACAGACTTTCACTAGCTAACCTATAAAAAACGAACTCACGAGAATCAATAAAWGACGAAATGAAGAACACATAACCWACCTATCAAAGGRTGATCTATAAAGTTTGTACCCTTCATGAATCTCCAATGCAAGGTGATATCCAACTTTGATTGTGACTTWACCTGGATGTAAACAAGAGACGCAATTAGCTATTATAATATATTCTCTGGGMATGCGTCCTTCAATAATTGATGTCGAATGACGTCATTACTGACTCTTTAAGCTACAACTGGTGGGCTGCATTAACATTGAGAATTATATGACGTTMAAAACAAACAACTGGAACTAGAAGTTGTTTTGACAATCATTTTGYATGGAACAATGCATGCTCTGTACAAAACTGATTTAAACCAATGAGGACTGGTCAAAATTTCCTAATTGGATAATTAATAGGACTTACACAGAAAGAAAGACCTTATTTACAGCCTTTCCGAACCAATATACTATAATTTCCAAGGAAATGCATGGGAACCCGCGAAAAATAAAATGAACAAAATTTGGAGTCATTCGTGCATATTATAATTTTCATTGGAAATATCAGCATTTGAAAGGGTGTGGCTCACGGTTTGAAATCCGGCAGTGCATTGGACCAATCATCGGTAAGTCSTAATATCTGTGTTGTACTGCTATTTCAAAACTATATTTCACTTCGACAAACCAAACCAAAATTGATTTAGTTCGAATCCCAGCGTTGTCGGAAATCACTTTTCCAAACTAATTTAACAGGTTCTTTTGACGTCCGTATAATGAATGAAATGCACTATACAGACTGAAATCTTTTCCAATATTCACCTTGTTCACGAAAATAAAAGAGATTATATACAGATTTTTAATCACCAATACTACTATATCTGCAGTAAAGAACCTTGCAAAYATATTGGCATTGATCAAGTTATATGAGTAATTTGAGTGAGGCATTGCTACTTGGTTCCTGAGCATGATRCTCAGGCCTTTGTTCTAGTGTAAAAATTGCATGTTTGCTTGTGCTTGGAGAAACGTCCGGGTATACKCCATATAATGCAAACTTACAAATTCCAAAGCTTGTATACAGGCGTCAACTTAGTTTGTTTATACTGCGAGGGTGCCCAAAATTAAAAATATCAAGACACGCTTATCAGAATCTCTGCAACCGTTCATTGCCCATGTACCAGSTCTTCATTTTGTAGAAGATTTATTTAAGAACGAAAATGTAATCCACAGAAAAAAAGATTTTAAACAAGCATTAAACAACATTTTAAGTACCTCAAAATCCATATCGGTAGCTTGGGAACTAAAACTCCATGTTCCTTTTGGTGGTCTAAGAATTGTCCAGAATAAGCTGCTACTGTCCGCTGTTTCAGGATATATTTGGACATTTTTGGGAGTTMGCAGATCTGCTACAGTATCTTTAACTTCAACTTCAAGTGTCCCCTCTTGCGCTATATCATCAATATAAAAGGCTTTGTCATATTGTCGAATTTCTCGTTTTCTGTTGTTTCTATCACTTGCAACGATTGCAGTACCGTCAAGACTTCCTTTGATCATTCGTTGTAGACGTTTCATGGATGAACCCTTTTTGAATGTTAGAACTAAACCTCCAGTAGCCTCTGCTATTACCCTGTAGGAGGCCATTGTTTTTGGCCCGCAAAAAGGCTTGGATAGGAAAAAGCTGACAGGAATCTTATTCTTCTGTGCATGATATATGGCGTTATCAGCGGTAAAATCTCTTAATGCTTTTGGAGGAGCGTCAGTAAAGACATACATAGGAGAACCACGTTGTGGATAGCCATTTGTGATCGCTCTGATAATCCCGGTGTACGTTGGTTCTTGGCAGTCATTTTTCTCCCTACGATACTTACGTTTAGCAAGTCTGTTCAGGGCATTTATGAATTTTTTGCGATCATCAAAATTTTGAACCTTACCATCGACCTTGCTTCCTTCGGGTTCTGAGACAAAAAAAATTAATAAAAGGATGTTTCTGATTCACAGCGAGACTGGGCGGAAACTTAACAAGGCATGGATAATCTCGGGATTCAACGGGAATCAAATATACATGGCCTCTGCGATGCCGATTCAGTGGTCTACTGACTATGAAGCCAACTATATATATTTCATTAGGTAAACGCCTGCTCGTCAATATAGGGACAACATGTAAACAAAAAAGGGATTACTTGATCACTATACATTTACTCATAGAATAATAGAGGACCAGCGTCTGTTGCTAAGGATTGGACTCGACTAGCATGGTCACCTTCCCAGCGAACCCTGCTGTGTGAAAAAAGCTATTTGCAAGATTTTATATAAGTACATCTARAAAAATAAAATGCATACTTGAAGTGTATGTTGACAAAATATAGTCGACATTGGCGATCGATGTATACCCAGCAATATTTTCAACAATMTTTGTAGCTTCAGGGATCTCTGACTTCATGCTTCCACTGATGTCGATTACAAAGGTTAAGGTAACTTTTCCATCCACGTTAAGCAACCTCTATTGATTAAAAATGTCATAAGTACATCATTATTTCGCAGTTTTCATTATTACAGTTTCTAGTATCATCCCTTACTTTTCTGTTTGAATTGTTTTTCTTGTGCGGATCTTCATTCCTTAGTCTTTAGGCATCATGATTTTTGATCCCAAATGTAACTTTTTGAATATTACGTTAGCTAAACAAATTCCCGGCCAAAATGTTGAAGTTTTATTGCTTCGTATGATTAAATGGCACATTTTCTGTTCCAATCAATCTTGTAGGTGTTAAAGATATTTTTGYATTCCCCACTAAGGCAAGTTCGGTATTGTTTCGCTTTACAGATGAAATTTACAGATGAAATAGAGCTTTRCAAAGTTTGTAKATTTTATGTAGACTGATTCCATWAGTCATAGTATTCATTTCTCGATTTTTCGGTTTGTCGCTCAAACTAGAGCGACTCTTTTCATACCGTGGGAGACTGGGTACAAGGCCCTYAATTCGCACGATGTTGACATAAGACTTGTATAAAACGAAAGATCTCACTATAATTAAGAAACTCACAACGTTTGGTGTTAATCGGATAAACTTTTACCGATTGGCAGGTTTTCTAAAATTCTAGATTTTAGAAAGAAATGTATGGGAATTAAGATCCGGACGCACGTCCGGCATTCTATACATTTCTTCGGAAATTCTAGCGTTTTTGAAAGGCTGTAAATCAATTGATATTGACCGATCGACGCCAAATTCAGACAGTTAGTATTTTTCAATAAGCTCTTTCGATTTATATAAGTCTTATCTAACCATCGTTCGAATTAAGGGACTTGTACCCAGTCTCCCATGGTATGAAATCGGACAATGTACTTTATCACAAACGACTGTACAAACGAAAACGAGGCCGTCGTACATCTAATTAGTTGGAAGTGAATTCACAATTGTAGCCGTTAGAATACAATATTTCTATATAAGATTGTATTAAGACGTTTTACCAGGAGTTTATAATCATTGTTAGGATGTATTTGTGGCAAGATGAAATGTTGTTAAATTAAATGATGAATGTGTTTGCTAAAGCTTGCAAGGTGTGGAAAGAATTTAGAGTTATGCGGCAGCTGTCTGGAAATTAAAACACTGAAATCGAATCCTAAAATTATAGATCAACATTAACTCCTTTTTAAAAGCATTCGTATTACACGGTTTTTCAAAGTAAAGCAAAGTTAANAAGATATATATCGAAAGATATACATGTACGACCTCAGATCAACAACTTTTGTACATCAAAGTTGATGTCATTCGTACTTCAATGTCACTAAGTAAGGAGATTTGAAGTGCGCATGACAGAGCAAGGTGTATGGGTCAAGAGCAATTGATGGGATTAGTCCAGATCTATAGCGCTCGTACGAGTCACCATTTGAATATGATTTAAGATAGCCAAAAGTTCCGAAACGACAAAAGTGTTTAAAAAAAATGAGTAAATGTACAGATTTAAAGATCTGTAAAGCGTTATAAGAAATATTTAAGTGAGTTGTAAATGAAAACGTAAGTAATATTTAGCAGCATTACCAGGACATACCAGGGCAGTTTACAGAGTTACAGTCGCGGTATTCTTGTCTTGGTCCAGCGCAGCCTTTTCGACCATTACATTGAAGACTTCTTGTTTGTTTACCATTATGGCCACAAACTTGATCACAGGCTGACCAGGGTCCGTAGTTCGACCATTTGACATGAACTGAAATAATGAGGTTTAAATTACTTAACACTACACTAGACAAATGTAGATAGAAGTCTTCATTGTTGAATTTATTTTTTGGGAAGATGGCTAGAAACGACGTTCCCGTTTAGTAATTTTTAATTCGTCCCAATTGTTTTACTTATTTTCCGGAGGGATTAAGAACCCAAAGAAAAAGGAAAATACGCGAAAGTCGGGACTCATTGCACAATAATGAAGAAAGTAATTGTGGTCTTTCACATTGCCCAACACGAACTTTATGCTGCGACTCATCTTGGGACTTTGGCATGGATTTGGCTGTTGTACATCCACGATTTTCAAAGCTGTCCTTGTTAGTCCATAACTATTTGCTTAAACCCCTCCCGGCTTCCCCTTCAATTGTTGTAGTTAGTGGTCGACAGTTTGCTGCCGGTGCGTTTCAACAACATTAACAGGGGTAGAAGTGGTTTCAAGTGTGGAGGGCCAATTCTGGACAATGCCAACTAAGTTAATGTATAAGATATTTTGTTCAATATTGTAAAGATTTATAATAATGGTGATGTAAAAACAATAGCAAGGATGTAATTTCTGATTTAGACGACCTAAAGTCTAAAATATGGCTAAAACAGCTTGTCATAAACCTGAACATTGTGAGTTTTTCGGACATTTTTTATTCTGTTTTAAAGGAATAACTTTTCTGTTGTACRGTGGGCAGTCGGCTATTCTGTCTTTGACCAAGGCGAGCTTGTAGCTCTTCTTATCACCACATTTGCATGATGTCCAATCTATAAGAAAACCAATGAAATGAGTTTTGTTTTTCTGTTTTTTTTTTGCGTGTGTGTGTTTTTTTTTTTGTGTGTGTATGTCTTTATTGTTGTTGTTTTTTGTTTTTGTTTTTCAGGAAGAGGCAAAATGCACAATGACTCTTGCAAGACTCATTTTGCCTCTTCCTGAATATTTAAATCATATTTGAAAATACTAGATATTATTCATTACTTAGAAGCCGTGCATAATCGAATTTTTCAAATGTTTCCAACCATTCATGTACCTGTAAAAATCATGTACTGAAAAAATTCATATTTCAAGGGATTATTGATGGTTTTATAGCTTATTTTGTCTCGGTTTGAAAAGAAAGTTTAGTACTAATGCAGCCATATTATGAAAAGTTCTATATTGTCAGGTAATAAAATAAAGTCAAACCCTTATTAACGCTATTACACAACAGCACGTTATAAAATGCACCCATTGGAATYTTAGGKTTTTTAATAAGAATAATTAACATCATTTCAAAGCCGGTCAATACCATATCATGATGTCACATTCAGTTGTTTCAAAAATGAAACTCTTCCGAGGGATTAAAAAACAGTATGTTTTATGCAAATGTCGACGTTTTCATTACGTGCTTACAAAAATGCAATGCTAATGGATTGATTGTTAATGAATCTGTGCAAGAAATAGCGTCAACTAGTCAATTAAATTAAAGCATCCATTACCTGACATCCTGTAATACACAAAATTCGCCATTCCCTTTCCAACTCCATACRTCTTTCCTTTGCCAGTAACGTCACAGTCTTGTGAACAACTGTTTTTATCATAAGCCTCATCATCTTTGGCGCCCCAGCATTCATTGCCATCTTTGATTCCCATATAAGGTAAACCTTGATCTTCTGCCTTTTTCGCACATTTTTTGAAGATCCTAGAAGGATCCTTTGAAGTATCTACATGTCCAAGATCGTGCTTTGAAGCACTATCCTTTTTGAYTTTATARCAACCCATAACACGCCATTCTGAAAATGATTTGAAGTGTTTTTTTTTTTGTGAAATTAACTAGAAAAAGATGCAGTGTCCTCAGACAAATTTTAATTAAAAATATGTCGTGTTTTGATRACTTCAAAACGATAATGCCCGAACCTGTGCAAGATCCTTAAAGTGCAAAGCCTTTGTGTTGCCTCAAGTCTAATAACAATAGAGTGACCTTATCATGGATTTAGCGCCAATTTTGTCGGGAAGGCATTGTTTTTTTTTGTTGTTGTTGTTGTTCTTTGGAAAAAATGATATAAAAAAGTATTCGAAAATACAACTGTTCGACAGGATGTATTTACACACACGACACTTAATTTGAAATGTTTGATTGACTGATTGAGTGTTCCAAAAACTAATCGAAAAATCTGTGAAAAAAAAGTGCCGTGGCTTGTGTTTACAACCTTGTCGAACAGTATTATTTCGGACTTTTTGCAATTTCTATTGTTCTGTTTCTGTTGTTCTGTTTGTTTGATCGCTCCGTCAGGCTGCCTAACGTTTAGAAAATGATTTTCGGGTTTAGAAAAATTGAGATATACACTTCTTTCTAGCTTTTGACCTATACTGTATGTTGTCATCTGCCAAACAGATGAATCAAAGCAATGTGAGCGGTGAAGTAACATAAGTAATTTAATCAGCAAAAAAGGCCACACACAAAAGGCAAAGCACCCACACAAAAGCATACTAGCAGTACAGCCATGTCTAATAATAATAATAATAATAATAATAATAATAATAATAATAATAATAATA